GCCCTGCACACAGGCATTTGCCGGATAGCCTCAGGCAAACGCCAGATTAGCACCTCCCTAGAGGACAGAAGTTCTCTCACTGCTGACACAGCTGATTCTCATAGCCACTTGGCCTGGAGGTCAAACCCTCCCTGGAATTAGCTACAACAATCAAGATTTAACTATAAGACTGTGAACAAAGACCACTAGGGGGTGCACCAAGGAAGCATAACAAAATGCGGAGACAAAGAAACAGGACAAAATTGTCAATGGAAGATATAGAGTTCAGAACCACACTTTTAAGGTCTCTCAAGAACTGTTTAGAAGCCGTCGATAAACTTAATGAGATCTACAAGAAAACTAATAAGACCCTCGATCTTATATTGGGGAACCAACTAGAAATTAAGCATACACGGACTGAAATAACGAATATTATACAGACTCCCGACAGCAGACCAGAGGAGCGCAAGAATCAAGTCAATGATTTGAAATGCGAGGAAGCAAAAAACACCCAACCGGAAAAGCAAAATGAAAAAAGAATCCAAAAATGCGAGGATAGTGTAAGGAGCCTCTGGGACAGCTTCAAGCGTACCAACATCAGAATTATAGGGGTGCCAGAAGATGAGAGAGAGCAAGATATTGAAAACCTATTTGAAGAAATAATGACAGAAAACTTCCCCCACCTGGTGAAAGAAATGGACTTACAGGTCCAAGAAGCGCGGAGAACCCCAAACAAAAGGAATCCAAAGAGGACCACACCAAGACACATCATAATTAAAATGCCAAGAGCAAAAGATAAAGAGAGAATCTTAAAAACAGCAAGAGAAAGAAACTCAGTTACCTACAAGGGAATACCCATACGACTGTCAGCTGATTTCTCAACAGAAACTTTGCAGGCCAGAAGGGAGTGGCAAGAAATATTCAAAGTGATGAATACCAAGAACCTACAACCAAGATTACTTTATCCAGCAAAGCTATCATTCAGAATTGAAGGTCAGATAAAGAGCTTCACAGATAAGGAAAAGCTAAAGGAGTTCATCACCACCAAACCAGGATTATATGAAATGCTGAAAGGTATCCTTTAAGAAGGGGAAGAGGAAGAAAAAGGTAAAGATACAAATTATGAACAACAAATATGCATCTATCAACAAGTGAATCTAAGAATCAAGTGAATAAATAATCTGATGAACAGAATAAACTGTTGATTATAATAGAATCAGGGACATAGAAAGGGAATGGACTGACTATTCCTGGGGGGGAAAGGGGTGTGGGAGATTCGGGAAGAGACTGGACAAAAATCGTGCACCTATGGATGAGGACAGTGGGTGGGGAGTGAGGGCGGAGGGTGGGGCGGGAACTGGGAGGAGGGGAGTTATGGGGGGAAAAAAAAGAGGAACAAATGTAATAATCTGAACAATAAAGATTTAATTAAAAATAAATAAAAAAAAAATAAAAAAAAAAACAAAAAAAAAAACAAAGTTCAAAATAAAAAGTGCCCGCAGGGCTGGGTTCTTTTGAGACCTCTGTCCTTGGCTTGCAAATGGCCAAACCTCTTGCTGTCTCTTCACATGGTCATCCCTCTTGTGCACATGTGGCCTGGTGTCTCTTCCTCCTCCTCCTCCCCTTCCTCCTCCTCCTCCTCCTCTTCTTCCTCCTCCTCCTCTTCTTCCTCCTCCTCCTCCTCTCCTCCTCCTCCTCCTCCTCTCCTCCTCCTCCTCCTCCTCCTCTCCTCCTCCTCCTCCCCCTCTTCCTCCTCTTTTTCCTCCTCCTCCTCCTCTCCTCCTCCTCCTACCCTCCTCCTCCTTCTCCTCCTCCTCCTCCTCTACATGGGTGCTTATTTAACATTTTTCAATTGCAGTTTACATTCAATATTATATTGTATTAGTCTCTATTAGTCTCACCCTCTTCTTATAAGAACATCGGTCCTATTGGATTCAGGTCATACCCTAATGGTCTCTTCAGAGACTTTATCTTCAACTACAGTTACATTCATTAGAATTTTGGGGTAGGAGAAACACAGTAGGAGAAACACAGTTCAGTCCATAACAGGGCCCTAAATGCAAAAAAAAAAAAAAATTCTTGGATGTTATAAAACATTGATTTAAAAAAGATAAAAATTGTTTCTTTCTGGAAATATTGATATCATAGTTTTCCTTTTCTTCCTCAATTTTTTTTCCTCCAGCTCTCTCTTTTTCTAAGTATAATTTAGGAACATTAAAATACACCCTTTTTAGTGTGAAGTTCTGTGAGTTTGTAACCACCGCATTTAAGAAGGTTTTTATAATCAATCTTGCAGGAAGGATGAAAACCAAAGGTTGTCTAAATGTCAGTTAATTTTTACATGTGTGTGTGTGTTGGAAGGCTGACACACCCATAAGCAAAGTAAAGTCAAGAAACAAACCCAGGCAATGATTTAAAAGGTAAAGTAGGTAAAAACAAGTTTGTCTCCCTAAGTGATCGGAGGGGAAGAAAACTGCATCATTTAAGTGTTGATATAACATTCCTTATTCACTGTACCTACCTTTACCAATCTAATCTCTGAAAAGAATCTAATATTCAACTATCTTATATTTATCATGGCTTCCTGAATATCTCTTCTATATGTAAGGCTCATACCAGACATACACCTCTGTGAAGCTTTCCTACTCAAGATAAATTAACCCATAATGGATCCCCAATTAGGTGACGTGGAGGATTATTTTTAAACAATGTAGGAGAAAATTGTTACTTTATTTTTATTTATTTATTATATATTTTTTATTGATTTCAGAGAGGAAGGGAGAGGGAGAGAGAGAGACATCAATGATGTTAATCATTGATCAGCTGCCTCCTGCACGCCCCCTACTGGGGATTGAGACCGCAATCCAGGCATGAGCCCTTGACTGGAATCAAACCTGGGACCCTTCAGGTCCGCAGGCTGAGGCTCTACCCACCCACTAGGGCTGTTACTTTAGAATTTACAGTTTAGATGGGAAAATAAGTTATGGCCTTATTTTCTTTCCTTCAGAATTCACCTTTTACTGTTGTAACGTTTTTTGGATGATTCTAAAATGTATTCTCTCATCTGGGTATCCCAGAAAACATAGCACCATGAATATCAGTGTCCCCTTAAACATTTACAGCTATGTTCATCATCTTCCCCACTCCCTCCAAAATAGTTTATTGTCTTAGATTTTCTAGTTCTACCATTGCTGTATTTTAGGCTTCCAGATTCCAATCACTGGAATGCTTTTATTTCCCTCATTCTTTATCATCAATTATTTAGCAATCCTGACATATATCTGACTTTTTTTTTAAACAAAGTAATAGTTTCCTATTGTCCTCTCTTTTCTTTTCTAGTGACACAATTTTCTAACATGCTATATACCATTCTTTATTGTCTGGTTCTTCCTGCTAGAACGTAAACTCCTTGATGGCAGAGATTTTTGTCTACTATTTACTGCAATATCCTCAACACCTGGTATAGTATTTGTTAGATAAACTGAGCCCTTACTTTGTGCCAGGCAGGCACTGGGCTCTTTGTCCCCAAACCTTATTATTCCAAATGTATATACAAATATGTATAGCCTATCTATATACCTTTGGAATAATAAACTCAATATAAAATTCCAGACATTCATAATATTAAGGGCTCTCTATCTTGTAGCAAAACCTCCTGCTCCAAACTGGTCCCCTTGAAACTTATGTAGCTTTGTCTCTTCCAGCATTTGCTCAGATAAACTCCCTATAGAAATCTTCAGTCGTCCACTCTGAAATTCAGTGCAACTTCCACCTCTTTCACAAATCATTCCTCTTCTGCGGTATTTACCACATGGTTTGGGGGCGCTTGGTCACATAATGCCTCATCTTATGTCCCACTCAATGTATCTTGCTTGGTACACAAAGTTTCAATAAATAGAAGCCATTATAATTTTCTTCCATTCCCACCTAGTGAGGGTCTGTAAGGCAAGCATCAGGGGTGCGTGATATTTGTATGTAATGTTCATGTGTTTAACTCCCGCAGCTTCCAGTCTGGTATTAAACACCTTTAACGTTTTAGAAAGGAAGAAAGCAACGTATATGTAACGTAAACTAAACATATAAAATGTCTTAAATAAAATGAAAACATCTGCTGTGGGAGTGCGCGAAGGGAGGCGAGAAGGGCGTCGCAGGAGGGCTTCGCGGGCGGCCAGAGGGTGCTCGGTTGGCTGTCGGCCCGAAGCCCTTCGGCCCATTGCTCTCCTCACAGCGCCTCGGGCGGGCTCGCTTCCGCAGGGCCACGTGCCACTGTTTAGTTTAATCGCGCGTCGGGCCCACTGTAAACGTCTAACAACCACCTTCCCCGACCAGGCCGCTACCGTCCATCTTCCTGCGGACGGGAGGGGCAAGGGCGCCAGGTGTAGCGCGTGTAAATCCAGGCCCCCTGTCCCAACAGTCAAGTTTTCAAAAAACCCGCGCGTGGCTCCCCAGGCCGCATCCGTTGGGAACGGCCCCAGAGTGCCTCCGCTCATCGCCCCTCCCAACCCCCTGCCAGCCAGGGCGGGAGGAGGTGTGAGGCTGCTGGCAGGCTCCGTACGTCGGCGGCGGGGGCGGTGGGGCCGGCGCGCTCCAGGGAGCGCGCCCGTCTGCGGCTGCAGAAAACGGAAGTGGGTGCGAGCGGATCGCGGTGATTGGCTGAATTGACATGTCTCTCAAGGGGCTGGCGCGAACGCCACTGCGGAGTTGGGCGAGGGGACACGGCCAGGGGAGGGGTAAAATCACTGGGAACAGCCGCGGTGCTGGGGGCAAATGAATCGCGGAGGTGCGGGGAGTGCAGGGGTAGTCTCTCGTCAGGGCACACTGGAGAGCTCGGGAGTAAAAGCGGGACGGTAGAGGCAAGGCAGGAACGGAGCAGGCCGTGAGCTTGATTAGACCGCGGAGGGCGGGGAGTCTGTCATCAAGAGCGGCGCTGCGGCACGGTAGGCGGGACTAAGAAGAACAAGGCGGGGATTGGCGGGTAGCCCTGGGCTGCCGTACGTCGCTGGTGACGCACGTCTCGGGGAGGGTGCGCGCGCGTTCAGCGGCCTCTTTGTGTGGTGCCTTGATAGGGAATCGGAGGTGGCGGTAGCTGCGGCCTTGGTTGTCTTCCAGTCTCCTCGGCTCGCCCTCTAGCCGGCATCTCTCCCCTTCCCTCCCCCTTCCTTTTTTCCTCCTTCCCTCCCCTTCCCTCCTTCCCTTCCCCGTCGGTGGTCGGCGGTGGCGGCTCCAGCAACGGCTGGGCCTGATCTGTGAAGAGGCCTTAGCCAACGATAACGGCGACGGCGAAACCTCGGAGCTCGCAGGGCGGGGGGAAGGCCCGGGCCTTGGAGATGGAGAATTCCCAGTTGTGTAAGCTGTTCATCGGCGGCCTCAATGTGCAGACGAGTGAGTCGGGCCTGCGCGGCCACTTTGAGGCCTTTGGGACCCTGACGGACTGCGTGGTGGTGGTGAACCCCCAGACCAAGCGCTCCCGTTGCTTCGGCTTCGTGACCTACTCCAATGTGGAGGAGGCCGATGCCGCCATGGCCGCTTCTCCCCATGCCGTAGACGGCAACACGGTGGAGCTGAAGCGGGCGGTGTCCCGGGAGGATTCGGCGCGGCCCGGTGCCCACGCCAAGGTTAAGAAGCTCTTTGTCGGTGGCCTTAAAGGAGACGTGGCCGAAGGCGACCTCATCGAGCACTTCTCGCAGTTTGGCACCGTAGAGAAAGCCGAGATTATTGCCGACAAGCAGTCCGGCAAGAAGCGTGGCTTCGGCTTCGTGTATTTCCAGAATCACGACGCGGCAGACAAGGCCGCAGTGGTCAAGTTCCATCCGATCCAGGGCCATCGCGTGGAGGTGAAAAAGGCCGTCCCCAAGGAGGATATCCACTCGGGTGGAGGCGGAGGCGGCTCCCGGTCGGGCCGAGGCGGCCGGGGCGGCCGGGGTCGCGGCGGTGGTCGTGACCAGAACGGCCTGTCGAAGGGCGGCGGCGGCGGTTACAACAGCTACGGTGGTTACGGCGGCGGCGGCTACAATGCCTACGGAGGCGGCGGAGGCGGTTCGTCCTACGGTGGAAGCGACTACGGTAACGGCTTCGGCGGCTTCGGCAGCTACAGCCAGCACCAGTCCTCCTACGGGCCCATGAAGAGTGGCGGCGGCGGCGGCGGCGGAGGCAGCAGCTGGGGCGGTCGCAGTAACAGTGGACCTTACAGAGGTGGCTATGGCGGTGGGGGTGGTTATGGAGGCAGTTCCTTCTAAAAAAATTTTAATGTCTGGGTTGACTTTAGGGGTAGCTGTTTTCAACAACCCTAGGGTCAACTCCTGAGTTCCTTTCCCTCCCACCGCCTTCCCCATTTGCCCTTGGGGGAGCCGCTTCTAAGGCTGCTTACCCTTAGGGGTATTGCCCTATTTGCCTGCCACCTCTCGTCTCTCCCTCTGAAGATGGACTCTGCCCCACATACACATTTTTGTGTTAGTTATTGATGGACTCTATTTTTTTATTATTACTTGGACCTTGGTCGTTTTTATACTAGCAAAATGTCTTGTTTTAATTTGTGTTTTTTTTGGGGGGGGGGAGGGAGTGAACTTGCTGATTCTGTAGCAAAACCTGGGTGGGGGTTGGGGTGGGGGGTTAGTTTACTTTGTTGTAAGGACTTGATACCTGGCTACAGCGTTTTCTATGAAATCTACTTGGATCCCATGCCTGAAATTTGGAAGCATATGTACAAAAATCATTTTTACGTTTTATTTTTAATAAATCATTGTGTTTGACCGTACATGTCTAACATTTTTTTTTTCTAGGATCCATTCCGTACCGTTTTAAGGGATATTAGTTGAAAAGTTTTCGTGTTAATTCTTAATTTTTTTGTGTACTTAGACAAACTTTTAAAAGGTCCTGTGGTTTTTATTTTTTTCTGTTGCCCTGCTAGTGACGTGTTGAATTTTATTCCTTTACAGGTAAAACTTTTGAAATGGTGGATGGGGCTTTTTAAAATTTTCAAAATTTCTGTGCATCCATTTCTTGTACTTAAAGGGTTTGCTTATCATCTTGACATGATTGGTTACTTCTTTCTATGAGAATTTACTTCAAAGTATGTACTGTGCAGTTCTAAAATATTTTGTGTTAAGCATGTGTTTTCATTCATATAAACTGTTTAAAAATTTTCAGATGGCCTAGTTTCTTCCCTCTTATTGGTTTGTCTGTAATGAATGGTTACAATAAGGGTTATATTTTACCCTCTAAATGCATTTTTGTATTTTCAGAGCAGGTTTAAACGTTTTTTTCCTATAGCTGCTGCCCTCATGGAAATCCTTCTCCCAATGTTTGTAGCTCCATCTACTGGCAGGATGGCATTATATGGGCAAAACAATTTGTTTAAAAACTTGAGTTTAGGACAATTGCATCAGATTTAGAAGTTTTGCCATCAAAAATCTGTGCAGACTTGGTTACACATTTTCTTGTAACTAAGGTGGGCTTTACAGGAATGTAGTTATGAGTCCATATCACAATTGCCCTTTTTACATGAGATTTGAAAATGTAAATTGTTATGCATAGCTTGGGCAATGGCCCCAAATTGCTTTGACAACAAACGAACCAGCTACGTGTACTGGTATCTTAGGTGCAAGTTGTAAAGCAAAATATCTGTATTCTGCTTGGTTAACAAATGTATATTTGTAGCCCTTTCATGCGATAGATTTCAAGTTGTTGTTTATAAAAAAACAAAACACAACGATATAGGAGAAAATTACCTTCCTGGATAGAAATATAGAATAGCAACGTTTATGGATATAACAAATAAAGAATTCAATTCTTTACATGATTGAGTGAGAGTATGTATAACCTGGTGGGTGGGTTCAGAGTACCTGTTAATCTAGTACATTTAATTTATTGTTAGAAAATATTTGGCTTCAATCTTGCTGTCTAAAGCTGTGCTAAGAAGCTTTCTGAAGGAGATTATTGGACTTAAAAGGATATTTTAACATCTGACCCCTTTTCTCTTTTAGTTCTTGTCACTATATTTTTTTAAGATGCTTGCCAAATTTTTTCCCTTTAATTATCAGGGCTCTACTCTCAAGGGGAAGAAAGGTCAAGATTGCTAAGCTAGGTTATGGCTGCTCAGTTGTCACTTTGACAAAGGGTAGCTGATGCTTGGTACAAATAAGTACATTCTGTGGCAAATGGGATAGATGATTTTGCACATAGAGTAAACACAAGGTCTTTTGCTCTCATGGTTCTACAGTTTCCTTAAATTTGTTTTTCACTTTTAGTGAAACCCTACATGTGGGCTTTATTTAGTATTTTGGTCCAATGTTTTGGAGTTCTGTAGGGTACAGAGAATGATACATTTAAATTTTTTGTTATAATTGTCACTGTCTACTCAGTTTTAGTGGAAGGTCTATTTTTTTTCTGGGAATAGACCACCTTTTGGAGGGTTTTCAAAGTGATAAGATTGTCATTTTGAATTCCAACATAGTGACTTCTAAAAAGTTGAATTATGTAAAAGTAACTCCTGTTTGCTAGAAAAGTGACTTAGTGTCCTGTTTAAGGTATATTAATACTTAGCTATATTGTCATGTATGTACCTTTACAAATTTCTGTAATTTGGACTGGTATTTACTCTCTTCAGAATTCCTCTTGTCAGTTTTTATGCAAGCATTTTTGGCGCGTGGGACTTTTATTGGGAGGGGGGCAACCAGTTGTATGTTTTGATTTCTTTCATTTATGAATACAATTTGTCTCTCTATTGTGAAGAACTTTTGCATATACAGTAATTTTAGTATAAATTCAGTGGTAATCATTAGTTAAAAGTGGCTTAAAAGGTCTTTAAAAATTGATAGTAATTTAAAATTTTAAGTTTGCAAGTGGTAATTCATAGTGGTAACTATCAAATTAGAATGATAATGGATTATTTCCTATAAATTAGTGATTTGGAACATAGATTTCATATTTAAATCTAGTTCACCATACATTTTTGTTTTTAAGCAAGGTTAAAAGATTGAGGATACTTGAGAATTTGGTATTTATGATTATTTCAAGACCAGAAGTGACAGTGTTAGTTACTTGATTTGTAGCCTTATTTAACTATTTAACTGCTAAATTTTCTGAAATTTTAAGAATTTGCAGTTAATGTCAAGTATTGTATGCCTGTGTTTTTGCTGATTGAAAATGAGTGTTTGGGTGTTGGGTTGATTTGAACAGAACTGCATCTAGACATTATGCATATTACCCAAAAAGATAACATTTGCACTTAGGGTACGTCTCTTCCATTTTAACCAATTTTCTGAGTCAGTGAAGATTTTGATCTCTGGGAAAAATTGCTTCTATTTCCATTTCAAAAGGCCCTATTTTGTTTTCTTCTAAAACAGCAACAAAGATCACCTCTAAACCAAGAGAAGACTGCTTTTTTTTTGCTTTTTCTAGTGTTTTACTATAGGTTAATTTAATGTGCCTTTGTCTCATACTTTTTATTAAAAGTGGATATACAAAAAAAGTACATTTTTTTTCCAATTAAGTTCCTTGAAATAATAAAGCTAAGAAGCATACTTTGTGCTATGTGCTATAAAAATGTTGCATAACATTTGGATTATACTTAAGTCACAGAAAATATCAGTATTATAAGGAAATAGGAAATTTGAAAATCTTAATGAATCTTGGGGCTCTGGTGTATTTTTAAAAATAACTTAGAATTAACTGCTTATAAACCAAACTAAAGTGAATAAAAATTCTACCTATGTGAGCAAACCTACTTTACTTCTCAAGGATAATTTTTGTTAATAGGAATATATATATATTCAGTTAGATCTTTTAAAAAAATCTCACCTAAGGATGTGCTTTTATTTTTTAGAGAGGAAGGGAGAGAGAAAAACATCAGTTGTCCCCGTACACACCCCAGCAGGGGATTGAACCCACAACTTAGGTGTGTCTCCTGACTAGGAATTGAACCCGCAACCAGCCACCTGGCCAGGGCCAGCTAGATATTTTTGTGTGCACTTAGGTTAATTTTTAAAAAACAAGTTTATATAGTTGTCCAGTGTATGTGTATTCTCCCATATATGTCTGTATACTGTTTCATAATACCACAACTTAGAACATTCCTTTGTTGGTGAATATGAGTTTTCTTCCATTGCTGTTAGGAATAATGCAGTGATTATCATCAAATATATACTTGGTTGATGAAATAGCTACCTCAGAGTTAAATGTGCTAGATAATGCAGCAGTTGTCTGGTGTAAGTATTTTTTAGTTCTCAGTATACATATAGAAAAAGGTACATACTCTGGTGGCTTTTTTAAAGCTTTAAGGTAAGTTCAATTAAAACATTTTACTGAAAATTGTGAAAGCTAGATTATATATGATAATACAGTTAATGACTTGTCTTCCCTTTTTGTATTCTCCAATAGTTTGACTGCAGAGATATTTGCCAGTTTTTCCGTATGATGTCTACACATACGACTTAGGATTATTTACGGTGTTGGCTATTATGCTTTGCACTATTACGTACTTTGCATGCATCATTTCATTTATCTTAGTTCTCAGAATAATTCTATGATGAGATCCTAATGTCTAAATCTTGCATAGTAGCTACAGGCTTACCTAATTGAAATAATTTGTGTAAGATCAGGTAGCTATTGAGAACAAGAAATGGGCATTTTTTTGCTTGTATTTAAAAGGCACGTTGTAAGATTTAAAAAAAACAAAAAAAAAAACCCTCTTCCTTGTTTTCTCCCAGTACTCTATATTAGGTTATCTCTGGGTACTTCTAGATCTTTTTATTTGCATGAATACTGTGATTTATTGATTAACACGTTTCCAGTTTTTCTCGTATAATTTAAAACAACCTCTACAGGTCTTGTTTTGCCATTTATAACATGTCAAAGAGGAAAAAAAGTATAGGAGCCTGGCTAAAGCCATTGTTTATATAGTTGTCCAGCTAGTCCTATTAAGAAGTCTGCTGGGGCCCTGAAACGATTTGATGGATATTCTACTGTCTTAAACATCCCAATTTACTTTGTCAGTTTTTCTTCTGAATTTTGTTTTAGTTTCTTATGAGAAAGACGTGATTAAAAAATATGTAATTCATCTCTATTAAAAACAAAGTTGCCCTAGCCGGTTTTGTCAGCCTGCGGACCAAAGGTCCAGGGTTTGATCCTGTCAAGGGCACGTACCTTGGTTGCAGGCTCCTCCCTGGACCCGGCCCTGGTCAGGGCTCCTGTAGGAGGCAACCACTGGATGTGTTTCTCTCACATTGATGTTTCTCACTGTCTTTCCCTCTCCCATTTTCCCTAAAGATCACTGGAAAAATATCCTCGGGTGAGGATTAACAAAAACAAAACCAAAACACCTACCAACCAAACCAAAAAAATAAGCCCAAGTGCCCTTTATATTCTGAAGGTACTATACATTGAGTTTTGGGATTATTTTGTAGCAATAAATATGCCATTTATTGCTCTTCTCTGGTTTATCCTACTTAAAACTTGCAGCATCATATTTCAGTTGTGTGTTAATAGAGGATTTTTACTATAGAAATTGTCTTTAGTTGAATTTTAAATGATTTACTAAATATTTTCTTAAGAAGCTAAAGAGGAGAAAATAACAATGGAAAGAGTATCCTGGGAAAGGTTTTCTTTTCTTTTTTTTTTTTTTTTTTAATATATTTTATTGATTTTTTACAGAGAGGAAGGGAGAGAGAGAGAGAGTTAGAAACATCGATGAGAGAAACATCGATCAGCTGCTTCCCGCACATCCCCACTGGGGATATGCCCGCAACCCAGGTACATGCCCTTGACCGGAATCGAACCTGGGACCTCTCAGTCCGAAGGCCGACGCTCTATCCACTGCGCCAAACTGGCTTCGGCAGGTTTTCTTATTCAGTGGTTCTCAACCTTGGCTGCACATTAGAATCACCTGGGAATCTTTAAAATCCTGATTTCTGGGCTTCATCCTCTGGAAATTCTGTTTCTTTGTTACTAATGTTGTGCCCCCCCCCCCCCCCCCCAACAAAGAAACAAACAGAATTTCCGGAGGATGAGGCCCAGAAATCAGGATTTTAAAACGATTCCCAGGTGATTCTAATGTGCAGCCAAGGTTGAGAACCACTGCCTTAGATCCTAGTTGGGCAATAATCCAATTGAAATGTGAATTCAGATCTTATTATTTTACCTTGGTA